CCAAACACCAAGGAGACTAAGATAGGAGGTATAAAGAACAGGAGATTTATCACAGTGACGAGGTAGAAGTAACTTCTAGGATAATGTGAAAGGGAGATCAGAGGGTGAGGACTGTACTGGGCCTCCAGGGCAGCTGTTGGATTTGGACCGAGTCCCTCTACTGTGGGAGAGACTTTTTCAGGAATGTGAATTGAGTACAATACCTGGCAAGTCTAACCATCTTTTTATCTAGACAATGGAAAGGAATTGTGAAAAGTCAAAGAAATGCAAGTAAATGCTAAAAAGTATTTTTAATATTTTTAAGGAACTACAGAAAATGTTACAGAAAAAGATGAAGTATCATTCACCACATGAATCAGCCGTAAAGAGCATTTGCCCGATCATGAAAATGTAAAAACTGATTATTGGACTAAACAAAGGGATAGCATTTTGTTAGAAGATTGCACAAGTGTGTGGGTGATGTGGTCAAGGTCAGGGACAGAAAGATCACTTGTTGTTGTTGTTATGTGCCGTCGAGTCGCTTGCAACTCATAGCGACCCTATGTACAACAGCCCTAAACTCCGCTCTGTCCTGTGCCAATCGCACTGTCTCTGACACTCCCATCCCAATTATCCCAGTCACTGAATCAATCCACCTCATATAGAGCCTTCCTCTCCTGTGCCGTCCCTCCACCCTCCCAAGCATGATGTCCCTCTCTAAGGACCGGTCTCTCCTCACAACATGTCCAAAGTAAGTTAGATGGAGCCTCAGAATCTTTGCCTCCAAGGAGCCACCCGGTTTAACCCTCTCCAGGACAAATCTGTTTGTTTTCCTAGCAGTCCATGGTATTCTCAATACTCTTCTCCAGCACCACAGCTCAAAGGCATCAATTCTCCTTCTATCCTCCTTGGTCATTGTCCAACTCTCTGATGCATAACAGGTGATTGTGAAGACCATGGCCTGTATCAGACACACCTTAGTCTCCAGAGAGACACCACTGCTCTTCAGCACTTTGGAGAGGTCCCTAACAGCAGACTTTCCCATGGCAATGCGCCTTTTAATTTCCTGGCTGCTGGTGCCAAGACTGTTGACTATGGAGCCAAGCAAACTAAAGCTGTGTACAATCTCAATCTCTTCACCATCCATCCTGATGCTGCCGATTGGTCCAGTGGTGAGAATCTTTGTCTTCTTGACATTGAGCCTCAATCCATATTGTAGGCTGCAATCCTTGACACTGTGCAGCAGGCGCTTCAGGTCCTCCTCAGTTTCAGCAAGCAGGGTTGTGTCATCTGCATAACGCAGATTGTTGATAAATCGTCCACCAATCTTGACCCCACATTTCTCCTCATAGAGCCCAGCCTCCCAGATAATCTGTTCTGCATATAGGTTGAAAAGGTATGGAGATAGGATGCATCCCTGGCGTACGCCCTTCCCAATTTTGAACCATGCAGTGTTCCCTTGCTCTGTTCTGACGACTGCCTCCTGGTCCAAGTATAAGTTTCGCATTAGAACGATCAAGTGTTCTGGGATTCCCATTCTTCTAAGAGTCAGCCACTGTTTGTTATGATCTACACAGTCAAATGCCTTTGCATAGTCAATGAAACACAGATAGACATTCCTCTGGTATTCCCTGCTTTCAGCCAAGATCACTAGATCCTTGTATTTCTGCTGGTCAGTCAGTGAATATTACATAAATCTGTTATCTCATGAAGCAGTCACCAAAATAATTGGCTAAAAGATAAAAAAAGGTTTGCCTCTGTAGAGGGAAAAATGGGTAGGAAGGGATGAATTGGAGTTTTCTCAAACCATGTCTATAAAACTATTTTACTTTAAACTTTGTACACAAATGATTGATTAGGAGATGAAACTCTCTTGAACAGCTGCTTTGTTATGGCTCTTTTCCCCTGGATGGAATCATTAAAGGACTGGAACCTTAGCTACAAAGCTAACTGTGAAGACCTGCTTGATTGTTAGGGATCACCTGGGATCCAAGGTAGCACCAAACCTTTACAGCAGATAGGAAGGAAAAGAAGGAACACTGATTTGGGAATGAAAATCACCCTTTGATAATTAAGAAAATGTCTGTCTTATCTGGTTACTTCCTGCCCATCTTGATACGGGAAACTCTGTACTCTCTGCACCCAGCTGCTGTTGTTGTTAGGTGTTCTCCAGTCAAGCATGACTCATAGTGATCCCATGAACAACAGATCTGAACCCTGTCCTATCCTGTGCCATCCTCGCCATCTCCATCACACTTAAGTCAGTTGCTACACTCACTGGCAGTCCATCTTGTTGAGCATCTTCCTCTCTTTTGTTGACCCTCCATCCCTCTAAGCATGATAGCCCTTTCCAAGGAATAGTCACGCCAAGAAAAATGCCCAGCATGTGTGAGACAAAGTTCCACCATCCTGATCTCCAAGGAGCATTCTAACTGCACTTTGTCTAAGACATGCCTGTTTATTTTTTTGGCAGTCCTTGAGATGCTTCTCCAGCAACACAACTCAAAGGCACCAGTTCTTCTATGATCCGTAATCATTGTCCAGCTCTCAGATGCCTAGCAAGTGATTGAAAAGATCGTGGCCTGAATCACGTGCACTTTAGTTCTCAAACTTGGCATCATTGCTCCTGATTTGGAGAGGTCCCTGACAGCGGACTTATCCAATGCAGTGTATACATCTTCTGATCTCCTGACTGCTGGTACTAAGAGTAGTATTGACTGTGGACCCAAGTAAGATGAAATTGTTGGCAGTATTAACCAACTAGTTGTTGTTTAGGGAACACTGGTGCCCTAGTAGCAGGAAGGTGTGCTGCAGTCTTGATGGTATGTGGTTCAAATCTACCAGCTGCTCCACAGGAGAAGCATGGGCAGTCTCCTCCTGTGTGATTAACTGCCTCTGAAAACTTGCCAGAGTGTCAGCTATGGGTTGGTTTCAGCGTGACAATACAGAACAACAACAATTGTTTAATAAATATGAACAGGGACAAACAAAACAGTTGGAGGAAAAAAAAAAGAGGACATCAGCTTCTTCAAGAAAACACCAAATGGTACAACAATGAAAGATTTTTTTTTCAAAGAGAAAAGTGAACTGGGGGGTTAGGGAGGAAAATGTGCAACAATGAATGAATGGAAGTCCAAGTTCACTATAAACTTATATTAAAATCTCAATTAAAATTTTAGAGATGGGAAAAAATGTTCTTTATGGTAAAACAAAACAAAACACCAAGTGGCAAATGACACTGGGGCAGTGGGAGGGCCCTGAGGACTCAGGATGAAAGCCCCTGGCAGTTTCCACAGAGGCACTAGACAGAGGTGTTAGATTGAGGAGATGGGGGCTAGGGGCCTGGGGGTTGCAGCTGTGGGGAGGTCATGGAGCTCCAGGAGGCAAAGCTGATGACAAATGACGACACAGAGTGGCTCCCCATCACCCAGGTGGGCCATTTGGTCAAAGCTATGAAGACCAGGTCCTTGGAGGAGATCTGTCTTTTCTCACTTCCCATCAAGGAGTCTGAGATCATTGACTTCTTCCTGGGGATGTCCCTCAAAGATGAGGTCTTGAAAATTATACTTATGCAGAAGCAGACATGTGCAGGTCCACAGACCAGGTTTAAGGCATTCATTGCTATTGGAGACTGTAATGGCCATATTAGCTTGGGTTTTAAGTGCTCCAGGGAGGTAAGCTTCTGTCAACTGTGGGGCCATTATCCTATCCAAGCTCTCCATTGTCCCTGTGTGACACTCTTCTGGGGGAACAAGATCTGCAGGCCTTACACTGTTCCCTGCAAGGTGACAGGCTCTTTGCTGGTGCACCTCATCCCTACATCCCAAGGCACTGAAATTGTCTTGGCCCCCTTGCCCAAGAAGCTGCTGCTGATGGCTGCAATTGATTGCTACACCTTAGCCAGGGGCTGCACAGCTACCCTCGGAAACTTCACCAAGGCCCCTATTGATGTCATCTCTGAGATCTCTAGCTACTTGACCTCAGACCTGTGGAAAGAGACTGTGTTCAACAAGCCTCCCTACCAGGAATTCACTGACCATCTTGTAAACACTCACACCAGAACCTCTGTGCAGAGGATCCAGGCTCCAGTAGTGGCCCCAGGAAGTAGTTTTTGTATAACAGAAATAAAATTCAGTTCTAAAGCAAAAGGGGGGGGGGAGAATATCAGATATAGAAGAGGACAACTGCAACTAGTATACATGTGGTTACAAACACAGACTTATATGAATGTCTTGGTCTCATGTACCAGAACCAACATGAGTTTCTGAAATGGTGAACGATTCTTGTAAACAAAATTAATACAATTCTTCTCTTAATGTACATGTTAACATTTAGTTCCATTCTTGGAAAATTCAGTGTAAAGTCCACTCAGAAGTACTGAAGAACAACACTGTCAGTCTGGAGATTAAGGTATGCCTGATTCAGGCCATGGTTTTTGCAGATATTTGCTATGCATCAGAAAATGTTAACAGTGACTAGGGATGATAGAAATGGAATATGGTGCTGGAGAAGAGTATTGAATATAACATGGACTGCCAGGAGAACAAACAGGTTCATCCTAGAGAGAGTGAAATCATCCTAAGAGAGTGAAACCAGGCTGCTCCTTGGAGGCAAAGATTCTGAGGCTTTGTCAGACGTACTTAGGGCATGTTGAAAGGAGAGACCCGTCCTTTGTGAGGGACGTCATGCTTGCAAAGTTGGAGGCACAGTGCAAGAAAGGAAGACTCTTGATGAGATGAATTGATTCAGTGACTTGGGTAATGAGGGTAGGTTTGTCAGATAATAAGGTAGGCATAAGATAGAATAGAAGTTAGGCCTGTTGTACCTAGGGTTGCTATGAGTCGCAAGCAACTCAACGGCTCATAGTAACAACAACAACAACATACGTATTTATAAGTGAAATGAGATTAGATTAGAAGCTCTTTTTTTTTTTTTCATTTGTGACTATTTGGCAAGTCATTTGAAAGACCTCTTGGATTTAAGCCAGTCACAACTGATAATTAACGATCAGATTTCTAGAGGCCTTAGAAGTGGTCAAAAAAACTCAAACTTCCTCCCATTGAGTAGAATTGACTCATAACTGACCTCCAGAAGCTTTTCAGCAGCTGTAAATCCTATGAAAAGAGGTCATCCCATAGGAGGAGATTGCCTCACAGCTGGTATATTTGATCTACCAGAGAGGCCTGGCCTTTGGATTAGCAATTCAGCTGCTGTCTGTGGGCTATGCCGGCAGAGCTCCAGCCAGGATGGTACTTTTAAAACCCTTTGTGCTAAGTAAGGGTGAAAAGGGGAAGCCCCAGTGAGATGATAATGTCAGGCCAGAAGAAGAAAGAGGAGAGACGTGGTTAATAACATGAAATAAGGATGTATGGCATACGTAAGTGGATGATAGCTCTCTTTTAAAAGAAGCAAATTGGAAATTTAAAATATTATTTGTAAGAGAAACAGACACCAAAACTAAAGTATCATTGAAAGGTCATAAAGGGATAGATGAAAACTGTCCAAAAGAACATAGAACACTTGATCTCAGACAAAATAAAATTCAGAGCCAACACATTTAAATTGAACACTGGAATAATATTGACAAGAGGAAGAATCTAGTAAAATGATAGGAAATTTTATGCCATGAACAACAGAGAATTTAAAAGCTATTAGATCTCTGATAACCTTTGCAGGAGATTGCTGTTGGACACCCATGAGTCTAAGACAGAGCAGCACTGTGAACAACACAGCTGAATTTTGCCCTATTCTGTGCCATCTTACTATCTCTCATATGCTCAAGCCGGTTGTTACAGTCCCTGTCCATACATGTTGCTCTCACATACCACGTTTCCAGCTTGATGTCTTTTTCCAAGGATTATTCCCTCCTGGTAGCATACCTGAAGTATGTGAGATGAAGCTTCTCCATCCTTGCCTCTATGGAGCACTCTGTTTGCACCGTATCCAAGACATATCTGTTTGGGGTTTTTTTGGCAATCCATGGGGGATATTCAATACTCTTCTCCAACACCATAATTCAAAGACAGGCTTCCTCTTCCATTGTTCACAGAACATATTGTATCAACTCTATTTCTGAATATCATATTTTTACTCAGTAATAGATATTATAGGTTGTCATTGATTTCACATGCAAGCAAGATTCTACTGAAGAACTGGAACAGTACATCAGCAGAGAATTGCGGGAAGTCCAGGCTGGGTTTAGAAGGGGTCATGGTACTAGGGATATTGTTGCTGATGTTAGATGGATCTTAGCTGAAAGCAGAGAATACCAGAAGAATGTCTATCTGTGTTTCATGGACTATGCAAAGGCATTTGACTGTGTGGATCATAACAAACTGTGGCTGACTCTAGAAGAATGGGAATCCCAGAACATTTAATTGTGCTAATGCGAAACCTATACTTGGACCAAGAGGCAGTAGTCAGAACAGAGCAGGGTAACACTGCATGGTTCAAAATTGGGAAGGGTGTACGCCAGGGATGCATCCTGTCTCCATACCTTTTCAACATGTATGCAGAGCAGATTATCCGAGGGGCTGGGCTCTATGAGGAGAATTGTGGCATCAGGATTGGTGGAAGATCTATTAACAATCTGCGCTATGCAGATGACACAACCCTGCTTGCTGAAACTGAGGAGGACCTCATGCACTTGCTGCGAAGGGTCAAGGACTGCAGCCTTCAATATGGACTGAGGCTCAGTGTCAAGAAGACAGATTCTCACCACTGGACCAGTTGGCAGCGTCAGGATGGATGGCGAAGAGATTGAGATTGTTCACAGCTTCAGTTTGCTCGGCTCCACAGTCAACACTCTTGGCACCAGCAGTCAGGAAATCAAAAAGCATATCGCGATGGGAAAGTCTGCTGTTAGGGACCTCTCTAAAGTACTCAGGAGCAACGGTGTCTCTCTGGAGACTAAGGTGCGCCTGATACAGGCCATGGTCTTTGCAATTGCTTGTTATGCATCAGAGAGTTGGACAATGACTAGGGAGGACAGAAGGAGAGTGGATGCTTTTGAGCTGTGGTGCTGGAGAAGAGTACTGAATGTACCATGGACTGCCAGGAAAACAAACAGATTCATCTTGGAGAGGATTAAACCAAGCTACTCCTTGGAGGCAAGGATTCTGGGGCTTCGTCTGACATACTTTGGACATGTTGCTAGGAGGCACGGGTCCTTGGAGAGGGACATCATGCTTGGGAGGGTGGAGGGACAGCGCAGGAGGGGAAGACCCTCTATGAGATGGATTGATTCGGTGACTAGGGTAATCGGGATGGATGTGTCAGAGGCAGTGCGGTTGGGGCGGGATAGAGCAGGGTTTAGGGCTCTTGTGCATAGGGTCGCTATGAGTCGCAAACGACTTGACGGCACATAACAACAACAGATATTAAGCTTCCCTCTCCTCAGCCATGCATTTCCAAGCTAACAGTATGCTTAGAAATACTTTTTTTGGGAGGGCACATTTGTAAAAAATTGTGTGACGAGCACATAATTTGTGTAAAAATATAATGTTAACTGTTTCAGGCTGTCAGCTTTACTTGTACAGACTGCCAGGTCTTGATTTCCTTGAAGCAGCTCATGTGTTTGAACCTCTGGCCTTTTGACTGTTCAGCTAGCAACTTAGTGCTTCAGATACCATTATTGTATATGATTATGTAATACCATTGAACTCTGGTGGCTTTCTAGTAAGGAATTGCGCTGCTGAAACAAAGGCCTGTGGTTCGAATCCACCAGCTACTCTGAGGGAGAAGGATGAGCGGTTTTCTCTTGTGTAATTTACAGCCTCTGAAAACCAGCTGGAAGATAAGCTTCAAGTTACTTCCCGCTGGACAGCACCTAACAATAATAACGTCATCATCATCGTCGTCATCATTATCATACCGTTATATAACATTGTGCTACCAGGGCTCTTTAATTAGCATGTGTTTCCACTGATTTTGTTGTTGTTAGGTGCCATTGAGTTAAGTATAACCCATAGCAACCCCATTAACAACAGATCTGAACCCCATTCTGTCCTGTGCCATCCTTATAATCTCTGACACAGTCAGGCCCATTGCTGCAGTCATGTGTCAACGCTCCTGGTTGAGGGTCTTCCTCTCCTTCGCCATCCCTTCACCATCCCATGCGTGATACCCCTCTCCAGTACATACAGCCTCTCCCAGCAGCATACCCAAAGTATGTGAGATGAAGCTTTATCATGTTTGCCTCCAAGGCAAATGTGGGTGCACCTTCTCCAAGACATATCCCCTGGAGCTTTGGTGTCCTAGTGGGAAGAAGCTGCACTGTAATCCTAGAGTTTTACGGTTCGAATCCACCAGTTGCTCTGTTGGAAAAGGAGGGGCAGTCTTCCCTTGTACCAGTCAGATCTGATTTGATGGTACACATACAATAAATAATGAATTTTTTAAAAAAAGACACATCCACTGATATATAGTATGTTTATAAATGTGTATTTCAAGGACTGTACTTCAGATTTATAATAACATTGGTGAGTCTGGGAAGGTTTGAGGGGCCAAGACACTGTTACATGCCCATAGAAAGCCTTTGATGTATTTTGTTGTTGTGTACTGCCAAGTTGGAACCAACCCATAGCTGGCCCTCTGGTAGGTTTTCAGAGGCGGTTAATTGCATGGGAGGAGATTATCCATACTCCTGCAGAGCAACTGGTGTCCTCCAACCATGTGCCTTTGAGATTGCACCACAGCTTCTTGCCACTATGAATGCTGTTCTAATTTATGCTCCCACTTCCAGCTTATTACAGTTAAAGGCTACAGATTAAAATCAGCGTGGGAAGGAATAACATAGGCCAGACAGTAGTAGGCTTTGAGACATAACTACAGCTTCCTGCTGTCCTTTGCTTGTGAGTCACACATGCACTCTCTTGGTACTGATGTAAGAGAGTACACACAGGCTTTTGAGTCTATGTAATGAACGATGGTCAATCTCCTTTCTTGTCATCTGCACCCACATAATCCCAGAGAGCTGTGAGTAGTTTCTGGCTTGACAGCAATACAGTGTCATCATTGTGTCTTCATGTGGGCAAGACTGACCTCAGTCTCCAGTCACCAGGCCCTTTAAATGTCAACTGAGACATCACAACCCAAATCCTCCATCCTAAATCACATTGTTGATGTTGAGCAAAGCTCCAAAGCCTGATCACATTGGTCAGTCTTATCTGATGGGCCCAGTGTGCATGGAAAGTGGAAACACTCTTATCAGACTTAACATTCCAAGGACTTAGAGATTTTTACTTCAGAATCTGAGGACAAAGGCCAGACCTGTCTGAGGAAGGATAAAGTATCTTCATATATAGTTATATAGCAAATTAATAAGGAAAGAAATGAGTCTTTTTTCAATGGAGAAACATTTTTAAGACACTCTGTTTCTGTGATTTAAAGTATATTTCACAATTCTTAGCTTTTCATTAGTTGTAGTCAAATTTTAGTTCGCTTAGTGGCATAGTCCAAAGGAGTGGCATTACGAACACAGGGGTGCCACCTCTAGTGGTTTGATCCCCAGTGGCTCGGCAGACGTGTGATTTACAGTCTCCACAAAACCCCCTGGTGTTGGTTCTGACTCAACAGCAATGA